GACACGAAACGTCAGTTTTCCTGCTCCTCTGATGCTGCTTGGCCTGCTGTGTTCATCCAGCTCTACACCGTGTTTTCTCAGATTCTCCAGCATCGGCAGTTCCTACTAGCCCTAGCTCTCTCAACCTTTCCTCGTAAGACCTTCCCTCCAATCCAGGCAACATCCTGGTAAATCTCCTCTTCAACTTTTACAACGCCTCCACATCTTTCCTGTAATGAGGTGATCAGAGCTGGACACAATACTCCAGATGTGGCCGAACCAGGCTTTTGTATAGCTGGAGCAAAACTTCATGGCTCTTGAAAACAATTCCTCTATTAACGAAAGCTAACACACCATACGCCGCCTTAACAACTCTATCCACCTGGGTGGCAGCTTTCAGGGAACTGTGGACATGAACCCCAAGATCCTTCTGCTCCTCCACACTGCCAAGAATCTTTCTGTTAACCCTGTATTCTGCTTTCAAGCAGACATACTGTGTGTGCATTCAGACAGTGTCCACTTTATTAAAACTGCTTTTTCAGTTTTGCCTAAATGCTGTGGAGCTAATTTCAAGATAGACACTAGTGCTTGTGTGATAGTCCTCCTATTGATTTCTGAAGATGTAGCAGAGACATTGTTGCTGGAGTTTTTCTGATGCTCTTGCATGTAGTGCAATGAGACATATCATGACAGGAGTGTGGTGATCACATCTGCTCTCTACTTTTAGGTGTTTTGTTAATTGGATGTTTCTGTTGTCAAACACTTGCTGCTGCAGTTTGTCAAGTGCTGAGCTGGAGCAGCTAATTGGGTGTTTGATCTTCTCGTTTTTGGTAGCCTTTTAAGAAGCGACTGTCAGGTTTTGGGCAGATGTATGCCAGAATGTGTGTTTCATTATATGGAAGTGGAATATTGACGTGAGTTTTGTTTTTGACAACCTTAAAGAATAGGCTATGATTATTAGATGTAGAATTGAAGAGATTGAGAGTGGCTTGCAAATCTGTTGCAGAATGAGCAACAACACTGCAGTCATCAGCAACTGTGGATCATATACATCTGTGATGGATGGTGTAGTTTAGACATGGAAACTGTTGAGGTTAGAGTATTTAACACATGCCAGAAGGCAGTTGATATTTGGGTGAATAACCACTCTGGTATACTGTAAATAGTGTGGGGACTATCACCCAGCCTTGCTTAACACCATTCCAGATTCTGTGACTGTCTTTTTACAGATCTCCCACTTGCAACAATTACAGCCATTGCATCGTGAAGTAGTTGCAGAGTTGTGGTAAAGTTTCTTAGATATTCCAAATCTCATGAGAAAGGTAGCGTCCATTTTCAAAGTATTGTATTTGTCTTTGTCAGACTGCAGACCTTTATCGAACACATCCATCCCAAATCCTATTTGTTTCAGAATGGACAGATTTTTGCTTGAAATGATCGTCTCAGTCTGGCAACTGCAAGATAAACGTTGTGAACAAAGGACATTACTATATATCATTTTCATTGATCAAACCAAGGCAATTGACCACATGAGCAGAGGCAGTCAATTTAAGATTCTGGAGAAGTTTTCTGCCTTTCAAATCTGCTCAATATGATCCTTTCCATGATAGGACAACATTGGAATTCTTTGTGATCCTCAGTTGGGTCAAAACAGGCTTGTGTTCTGGCACTGATGCGCTTTGTCATATTCTTCTCTTTGCTGACATGATAAACCTTCAGGTCATCTATAGAGGTGTACACTTGCATATTACAATTGACAGAAACTTGTTCAGTTTTGTTGATCTGGAACACAAGTTACTCTGTACAATGGAGCACTAACATTCCAAACTCAAAATCAAATTTTATAATTCATTATTATAATTTGAGAATTTGAAAAGTAGAGGTAAGGGGTTTCTGGTTTTAGTTCTGTGGAGGTGGCTAATATTTTTGTTCAGAGTTCAAATATCATTTCCAAGAATGTGTGTAATTGCAGCTAAATTACTAGATAATATACCTCAGCAGTTAAGAACAGTTTCATATCAACAGAACAACAGTCTAGTTTGTAGCAGTCCAAGCTTTCAGAGCTGAAAGAAATAATGAAATTGTTTTAGCAGTTCTGGCAAACAGAGCTTTTCTTAAAGTTCAGTTAAGAAAATTTAGTGAAGTGGTCAGTGTCTTGTGCATTTCTGGAAGAGACAGTAATGGAGAGAATCGTATGTGGTAAATGTATTGAAAGTTGCCAAAGGAAATACAATCTTGGCAGTGAAGTAAGAAATTAGAGTTTAAAATAGGAATGATACTTAACTGTGTTAAAAGTCTGTAAAGGATACTGCTTAGAAAGGGGTTGAATCTTTCTTTTGATGTTATGTTAAGATCTTTCTAAACTGTCAAAGAGATATCTATGTTATTGTGTAATAAACTTGTGCTCTTTTGTTAAAAATGTGTTCAGTAACTGAAAACCATGGTAACCAAGCAGGAAATGTAAAACTTTTGATCCATCAACCCAGGTTTCATTCTGAGATCTGACTTGTTAGTAGTGTTATCAGGTGGAATCATAACATTATAAATTGTACCTGTGGCAGCAATTACATTTTTTAATGTCCGCAAACAATTTGGCATGATCATCAGTATCAGGAAAACCACCATCCATCAGCTTGGATAATGTGGAAGTTGTTGCAGGCTTCCTGTGACATAGGTGTTCATCAGCATCTGCGACTTAATGCTGAAATCAATACACATAATAAACACTGCAGCTATGTCATATCCAAGCTAAGTAAGAGAGTATCAAGCATCGGTGTCCTGACTCAGAACACCGAATTATGACTCCGTCAAGACATGTGTCCTAAGAATATTCCTCTACAGTTGCTAGGAATCAGAAAATCCTGAACAGTTTCCATCTTTGCTGTGTCAAACGTATTTTCTTCATTTCTTCACCTGCTAATTCCATCAATAGTCATGCATTGCGAAACCAACAATGTCTGCACTGGTTTAGCCCCACATTGAGTGGATGGATGACAGTGATACATCAATAGGCCATCTGGACAATGAATTGGTCACTAAGTCACAACCTCCTGGGGCATCCGTACCTCTGCTACAAGGACATCAGCGTGACAATAATAAATGTTAGCCGTGACAAATGATAGACAGTTGATGTTTGCAACCACTAGACGCTGCATGTCTGAAAAAGCAATGGAAGGAAGCAGAATTGAACCATGCAGCTGTTCAAGAGGTACAAGAGAAAACACGCCAATGAATACTATACCTCCTCATTCCAATGGCTTCCTCTGCAGCAAATGAGACTGTTATGCCAGAGTATCTAGACCATAAACCAGGCAATGCTTCAAGAGTTGACTGCTGTGGTACAAACCCCTGTCATAAAGAAACCATAGAACACCTATAATGTGGAAACAGGCCCTTCAGCCCAACAAGTCCACACTGACCCTCAGAGCATCCCTGCTCAGACCCATCCCCCCTATAACCCACCTAATCTACACATCCCTGAACACTATGGGTAATTTAGCATAGCCAACCCACCTAACCTGCACATCTTTGGACTGTGGGAGGAAACCCACACAGACACGGGGAGAATGAGCAAACTCCACATTAACAGTCACTCGAGGGTCTTTGGCGCTGAGCCAGCGTGCCGCCCCGATAAGATCAGATGACATGACTCTAATGGCAAGCTACAGTGCAGCAGATACAATTTCCGATGACATATCTTAGCTACGTGCAGATGGTGAAGAGAAAAGAGACAGCCCCGTGCAAGCTTCCAGTCAGAACTCGAAGCATTAAATTCATGGCTAGAAACGTTGTAGCTAATTTGCACAAAACAAATATTCACATGGAGTAATGTGGTAATGATGAACTATTTTATGATGTTATTAAGGAATAAAGATTGGCCCTTGCTGTTCTTCAAAACAGAGCCAAAGCATCATTCAAATCTAGCCTAGCCAGCAAATAGGCATCAGTTTAACATAATCTATGAAAGATTGCATCATTGACAGTGTAGCACTGCTTCTATGCTGCAGTGAAGCATCAGGCTTTATTTTTTCACTGAAAGCCTTGAAGTCTGTTGGCAAGGAAGTGTGCAGGATCCCATTTGTGTACTGTGACAATTAGAGGTGGGTTGTTTTCTCACAGCTATGGTTATGCACGCTGCCTTGTGAAAATAATTTTATACCCAGTGTAATGAACAGCAATTCAGTAAATAGTTAGCTGATACAGGATCTTTATGGTTTTGGATTAGTTTCCAATTTACAATTAGCTGGTTCTAGACACCTGAATAATCTGTAACATCCACCTGAATAAGAAACTGGACTGGAACCCAAGCTTGATACTGCATCTGAATGACAGGTGAGACGTGTGTTTGCTTCCCTTTTTCCCCATTCTTCCTGTATAAATTCCTCACTTTAAACTTTAAATTGTCTGACAGAGTCAACAAGAAATAAACTTTCTGTACCCCTGGAGCTGGAACTGTTGTCATCGTGATAGAAAATTTCAGATCGTCATGACATTTTGATATGTTGTCTTACACAGTGATTTTAATAAGCGGGGAGAAATCAAAAATTCCACTCCAAATTCCTCTAGCAATTGATAGAAAGCCAAGAGATCACAATGCCTGGTCATGTTATCTGTTTTTGCCTAACTCAACCCCATCCAATTGCAGAAATCAACTGCTAGCATGGCAGGGCCCGGTCTGTACAGTTCAGTGTTGCATTTTAATCCTCTTTAGAACCAATTTCACTTACACAAACATGCATACATCTGAGCACAGTATCCAAAGTGGCTGCTCCTTAAATATCAATCTTTTATCCATTATCTTTATTTGTTTCACAGAAATGTAATACATTGAAATTTTGTAAACAGATTTACACATTTATAACTACAGATGCATTCAACAAGGGGTTTCACTGAGGCTGTAGTTACAACTCAAACTCAATCTGACTCTGCTTTCTGGACCAGACATGACAACAGAACAAGGTGGAGTAAGATCCTCTGAAGGATATAGTTTCAGTCCACTCCACTTTGGACCAGGTTTGGATGTTCCCACCTGCTTGTGGTTCAAGTTCAACATCTGTGCAAAGTATTTTCAGCTTCACACTGACATTAAACTTGGTGAGCTGTGAGTACAATGTTATACTGTATATTTGTTCTGCTTTTATTTATCCACAATGTAGGTTTTGAAAGGTTTTTTTGATCTCATGCTTAATATTAATTTACCCTGATTTCAGCAGTTTCAAAAAAAAAAGTTCAGGAGATATATTTGGAAACAAATGTTCAGCAGTCAGCAGTGGTACCCAGTTGCTAAAGAATGGCACCAACAAGCCTTAACAGTAATGTTCATGGAGGAAAAAGATGAGTTAGGGGACCCAGGACAAGGTTAATTATCCTTCATCTTGCGCTCTTTCTTAGCTCGGGCTGCCATAATAGGAAAGAAGAGACTCGGAATCAAAGTTCGCAAGTAAACTGCGGCTGTTGGCAGTAATCCAGCTAGCAGGACATCCTTCCTCCCCCTGCACACAGCCGTGAGGACAGCTTCAGCAACAACGCGAGGTTCGTAGCCTTCTGCTGTTTTCTTGTCCATCACTGGTTTCAAAAGAAGAAAAGCAAGTCAATAAAATGGGCCTGGTTACCTATTCATAACATTTCTTATGCAGTCTTTTCAAATACTTTACTGTCAAATTCAGAAACTGAGCTATTGGGCTGAGGATCAAAGTGCAGAACGTTAGAGGTCTAAATGGCATACTGTTCCCCCTTGTTCTTAGGTTGAGAGTAGGAAAGACAAGCAGATAGATCAAGCAGGAAAAGAACAGACACATTTATAACAAGACAGATGTTTCTTCTTCCCAGTATCTAAACAATGCTCTACCACTCTCCATAAAATGAAGCTGATCCAAATCTCTTCAGTCTGTCTGTGAAATTGCTCCATGTCCCATTCATTTTATAAAAAATAAGCTCGTTGATCTGTGTTGCATCCCAGAGCAGTAATGCCTTTTGTAACCTCCTTCATGTTTTCAACCCTCCAAGATCTCTATTCACACAATTGTGGCCTCTTTTGTGTATCCTCACTTTTTTCTTTGACCACTGGTAACTGTGCTTTCAGCTGCCTTAACCCTACGCTCTGGGATTCCTTCCCTAAAACCCTCTGCTTCTCTATCTGTCCTCTCACATTTCTTAAAAGCAACCTCTTTGACCTTCTTCAGATTAGTGTCAACTGTTTTCCTGGTAATGTTCCTGTGAAATAACTTGACTTCTTTTTAAAAAACTATTTTAAAGATGCTATATCAATGCAAGTTGTGGTTGCTTCACAAAGGATTTGGCCTAAAAGGCAATAGTTTTTAGTTATATAGAGAAAAACTTTTATAGAGAATGAAGCTGCCATCTTGTACCACTTAAATGACTCCTCGACCCCCATTTATCCCCTCAAATTCTTACAAATATTGACATTATAGACATTGGTACTGACCTATCTGTAAATGAGATCCTTGCATAATATCAAACAGTTCAAAGTAATTAAAAGCTTACCGCCATACTTGGATCCATTCCCAGTCACTGCGTTCAATGAAAGGTTGGTGCGGATATATCCTGGACTTATTATAGTCACCTTAACTCCATACTGCTCCACCTCTGCACGTAGACAGTCAAAGAAGGCTTGGGTAGCATGCTTAGATGCTGCATCTGGAACAAGAAATCAGAAATTTTCAATCGGAATTTGATCAAAAGGGGAAGTTATCTTAAAATTACCTCTCTGACTAAAGGCGCCAATTACAAGGCATCAATACGGTGTAGTTTAGTAAATATTTTCCTACAATATAAATATTAATAGAGGTGAACATCGCACCAGTGCAAGAAATGGCCCAGATTTTTCATAATTACAGTATCTGAACAACACAACCTGTAAATTAATGCACAAATTGACCAGTAGTTCGTGGGGAAGGTTAGATACATGGTGAATCACTATTCACCAGAGGCTTCATGAAAAGTTGTAGCTTGTCTTTACCCTTCCTGAGTTCCATGAAGTTGCTGCATTTTCACATTAATTGTCTATTAAATGTGCTTTAAATCTCAAAGTGAAGGTGGACTTTGTTTCCACAGAATTATGTGGTAGTCACTTCTAACGATATTGTCATAGGCAGATGCACCTGCTACAGATAGATTGGTGATGACGGAGCTAAGTACATTTTCCCTTGTTGTCGGTTTCTTCAATTACCTGCTGCAGGCCGAGTCTAGCAGCTATGTCCTTTGGAACTTGACTAGCTTGGTCAGTAGTGGCGGTACCAAGCCACTCTTCATGACGGAATATTGACTATACTCTGGGTGGGGGATTCCAATGTCCTGCCATCCTCAGAGCTGCTTCCAAGTGCTGTTCAAGATGAGTACTGATTCATCAGCTGAAGGCAGTATGGGTATGCTGGTAGGTGGTAATCAGCAGGATTATTTGTGACTGACTTGATGCCACGAGACATCATGGGGTCTAGAGTCAATGCAGAGGACTCTTGTACCACAGTACCACCAGCTGTAGTGGGTCTGTCCTATCAGTGGAACAGGACATGCTGAGGGATTGTGGTGTCTGGGACAGAGTCATTCACTTGGACTCATACTTGCAGACAATGTCAGCTATTGCTTACCTCAGCCATGGGACAGTTCTCCCAATTTTGGCACAAGCTCCCAGATGTTAGCCAGGAAAACTTTGCAGTGTTGACAGGGCTGAGTTTGCCGTTGTGGTTTCTGGTGCTTTCATTGATGTCGGGTTGTCTGTCTGATTTTATTCCTTTTATCAGACTACATAGCAGCTGGAAAGAATTGAATGGCTTGCTAGGTCGTTTCACAGGACAGTTTACAGTCAATCACATTGCTGGGTCTGGAGTCACGTGCAGGCCAAGATCAGGTGAGAATGAAATTTTTAGCAAATGGTTTACAACAAGTGACAATATTTTGGTCATGAGACTAATTTTGTTTTTAATTCCATCATAAGTGGTGGGATTCAAACCCATTCCCCTGGAGAATTACCCTGGGTTACTAGACTATTGGTACCACAATGCCATTGTACTCCCTTAATGTGTTACTTAATCACATTGGTGGATGACATACAGTATATACAGGGGTATTATCATTGGACTTGTTAATCCAGAGATCCAGATAACATTCTGGGGACCCGGGTTCGAATCCCACCTTGGTAGATGGTAGAATTTGAATTCAATATTTATCTGGAATTAAGAATCCAACAATGATTGTGAATCCATTGTCGATTGTTGGAAAAAACCCATCTGGTTCACTAACTTCATTTAGGGAAGGAAAACTGCCATCCTTACCTGGTCTGGCCTCAATGTGACTCCAGACCCACAGCAATGTGGTTGACTCTGAACTACCCTCTGGGCAATTAGGAATGGGCAATAAATACTGCCAAGCCAGCGACGCCCATCATCCCGTGAATGAATAAAAGAAAAAAAAAAGCGTACAAAAAGTGATAAATGCTTCACCATACTTACAAGCAGATCGAAATGGGATTGCTATTTTCCCTTGGACACTACTAATCACTGCGACATGTCCACTTCTTCTCTGCACCATGGAAGGCAGAATGGCTGTAACATTAAGTGATTGACATAGAATTAAGGCAGTTCATAGTGGTGACTCGCACACCAACCAGCAGCACTTGACAATGAATCTAACACTTGGCTGTGGGGTTCATTAACCAGACAGAGCAGACCCTCAACAGTGGCTGTTACACAAGCTGGTATGAAGAAACAATGTGCTGTGACCTTGGTTCAGGCGATAGAAAATTCCGTAGCAGCTCCCCAAATATTACAGCGATTTTGTCCTGTGTGCAGATGAGTCTTACAAACCAGTTTCCCTCCAAGCCACACATCATTCTGAATTGAAACTAGTGTACGTCACTGTTCCTTCACTGCCACAGTGTCAAAATCATGTAATTCTCTTTCTAAACATCACTGGGTGTTATTACAACACCACAACTTCAGCAGTTCATCAATATCTTCTTAATGGCAATTAAAATGGATAATAATTAACTGTAAAACATTAGCATATTAACTGAGATAGTAGGAACTGCAGATGCTGGTGAATCCGAGACAACAAGGTGCAGGGCTGGATGAACACAGCAGGCCAAGCAGCATCATGGGAGCAGAGAGGCTGACGTTTCGGGCCTAGACCCTTCATCAGAAAAGGGGGAGGGGAAGGGGGCTCTGAAATAAATAGGGAGAGAGTGGGAGGCGGATAGAAGATGGATAGAGAAGAGGATAGGTGGAGAGGAAACAAACAGGTCGAAGAGGCGGGGATGGGGCCAGTAAAGGTGAGTGTAGGTGGGGAGTTAGGGAGGGGATAGGTCAGTCCAGGGAGGACGGACAGGTCAAGGGGGTGGGATGAGTTTAGTCGGTAGGAGATGGAGGTGCGGCTTGAGGTGGGAGGAGGGGATAGGTGGGAGGAAGAACAGGTTAGGGAGGCGGGGACGAGCTGGACTGGTTTTGGGATGCGGTGGGGGAGGGGAGATTTTGAAGCTTGTGAAATCCACATTGATACCATTGGGCTGCAGGGTTCCCAAGCGGAATATGAGTTGCTGTTCCTGCAACCTTCGGGTGGCATCGTTGTGGCACTGCAGGAGGCCCAGGATGGACATGTCGTCTGAGGAATGGGAGAGGGAATTGAAATGGTTCGCGACTGGGAGGTGCATATTATTAACTGAGCCCCTCAAAGAATCCACACATGGACCATTCTGTGGAATCCATTGTTGTTTAATGATCAAAACCAAAAAAGAATATCAAAAAATATCAACACTTAGCTTTTTAGGTTATCAAAATATTTTGCAGGTGTGACTTTAACCTGAACAACTTAATTCCATTTTACTACAAGAAATTTGTTGTGTTTCTGGTGGTTGAGCACCATCTAGTGACTATCCAGAGTAAAACTGCAGAACTCCACTGTTTCAAGGGTTCAGATGACCTCAATGGACTTTCTTTATTGTCTGTGGCTTGGCAATCACACTCAGATTGCCACACACTCATACTTTTCGTTCCCATTAGGAGCTCCACATTTCTAGCAGGAGACTGCAGGGGTGCAGGTGTCAAGTCTGGGTTGGGGTGAACGCCAGGTGGGACTGGGGATGAAGGGGGCTTTGGGGGAGGTGTTGTTGGGGGTTATGTGTATTAGGTTGGGAATTAGACCAAGTATTTAATTGTTTAACTTTCCCTGGGTAACTACTAACTGGGGGGAACTCGAAATTCTCGGATTTAAATGGTCTCTTTAGGACAGTTCCAGTTGAATGGGAATTGCCAATAGGAATCTTCAATTTTCTGGGCAATTCCATCAGAGTCTGCTACATCTGGGATTCCGCAGGGTCCTGAAGTTTAATTCCCATGTATACTGCAGAAGCAACTATCTGGCCATTGGAAAATCTGGTCAAGTATGTTATTAATTTATTTTTCTCCCTACTCTTGAAAACAGGTTGATCCATGTTGATTTGCAGTTTCGAGCTATCAGAAAAATGTTGGTGCTTGTTCAATTGCTCACTTAAGTATGAACATGAACACCAAGTCTTGGTAACTAATTGCTCATTGACAGTATCCTAGCCCAGTGCAATGTCATCTTATTTGACGTGTATAGTCCTGCATTATGTATCCATGGATAGCAAATGGGAACAGGAACCTTGGCTGATTTTAACTCAACTGCACCCCTCTCCACCCTGCACACGTGAACCCTATAGCCAATAAAGCACCGAAAGCATTTTAGCGATAATGGTGGAGGGATAATTATTGGTGAGGAAACCACAAGTAACTTCTTTTTCTTCAAACCAGGACAACTTTAATGTCCATCTGAGAGGGATACTGAAGCTTTGATTTTACATCTCATTTGAAAGGCAACATCTCTGACAGTGCCCAATACTGAAGTAGGAATGTTAGCCTAGATTAATTATTGAAGTCTGTGAGACTAGAACCTACAACCATCTGACTCAGAGGTTAGTGCGCTACCATTAGATCTCTACTATTGTTACAACTGGCTGAGATCAACTTTTTCAGCACTGACAGACCAAACATTTTCTTCACCTTTTAACAGTACATAGATTAGCCAGTGGGGAACCTGTTCTATGTGACAGTGATTAAATCAGAGTTGTGACTCAGAACATTTAATCACTGTTCCAACAACAACAGTAACACAGATAATGCTTTACATTTACCGAAAGCACAGCATGAAGAGTGCACGTTATATACTAACACAATAAAAATGCTGACACAGATAGCAGGAGAGGAGCTTTTTCAGCTGTAGTCCAGTAGATCATCTCTGGTCTTAGTTAGGGAATCAAGTGTTATGGAATAAGACATGAAACTGGAGTTGAGGATTATATAGATCGACCACGATCTCATTGAATGGCAGAGCAGACTTGAGGGGTGAATGGCCTTGTTTTGCTCCTACGTCTAATAGATCCAGTGTGTTCAATTCCATTCTTGAGACTGGAGCACAACATCTAGGCTGGCACAGCACTGCAGTATTGAGGAAGTGCTCCACTGTCACATAAATGATAAGGAACTTAGGCCTCAGTTTGTCCTCTCAATTGAATCTAAAAGATACCATGGTACTATTTCCAAAAAAGAAACCGGGTGAATTCTCCCAAGTGTCTTTGCCAATAAGTATCCCTCAATCAACATCAAAAAACTGAATATTTGGTCATTATCACATTAATGTTTGTGGGATCTTGCTGTATTTCTTACAACAATAGCTTCATTTCAAAAGTATTTCACCACCTGTAAAGTGTGTTGTGACAGCCTGAGATCATGAAAAGTGTTATATAAATGCTAGACTTACTTTTCTCTCTCTCTTCTCACACTGCCAGCTTCTGGACTTAGCTGGCCCTTCAATGAGGAGAGGATTGTCATAAAGAACAGGAACCAGCTGCACTTCATCCCAGGTCATTTCCACACACCACCTCCTGGCCTGGTTATTGAATGATGCTGACAGCGAATTGACAAGAGATTGTCCCCATTCTCTTACTGTGTAGCCTTGGCGTCAGGGAGGGGACATTGAATGGGGAGGCAGTGGCCTAGTGGTATTATCACTAGACTATTAATCAGAGACCCACATAATGTTCTGGGGACACTGGTTCAAATCCCACCATGGCAAAGTCTAGAATTAAGAGTCTAATGATGATCATGAAACCATTGGAAAAACCCATCTGGTACACTTACTTCTTTTAGGGAAGGAACCTATTATCCTCACCTGGTTTGGCCTACATTTGACTCCAGATCACTGAAATGTGGTCAACTCTTAACTGCCCTCTGGCGATTGGGGATGGGCACTAAATGCTGGCCTAGCCAGTGATGCCCACATCCCGTGAATGAATAATAAAAGAACTCAGTATAAATAATAAAGAGAGACCCTCAGAACTGAAAGCTAACTAGATGATACCTTTTGTTAAAGCAACTGGTCCAAAATAGTTGGTGTTCATCACATCTTTATCAACACTTATGGCAGTGTCCAGGATGTTGCCTCGGTAACTGATCCCTGCATTATTAATGAGAATGTCCACTTGGCCAAAGCAATTGAGAATCTCCTGTGCGCTGCTGTTCACTGTGTCCAAGTCAGCCAGGTCAAAGGTCACAATGTGAGGCGTGTGTGTCTATAAACAGAACCCAGATATACAGTGAGGAAATGAAATCACACATCCACTTTTGCATTCATTAGACTCAACTGGGACCATCAGGAAAAACTAAGAACGTGTTGTAATGAGGCTGCAATGAGGATAGGACAGAGCTCCACGCAAACACACGACAGCCATGAGCCCTGGCACCGGATTGGCAGCGCTGGGGGCTCACCTGAAGAGAGCTAAAATTGAGACGGCCAATTAAGTGTCCACCTCCAGGGAAAACAACTTTGCAAGTGCAAGATTGGTTGCTGTTTGGTTCTGATGCCAGGATACTGAAGCCCACAGGAATTCCAGCCCAAAGTTTCACACAGCCAATGACTGTGTCTGCGCTGACTTACACTGCTCCTCCACTCTTGCTTCCATCCCATTGGTGAGAGTTTACCTCCAACAGGGTGTGTTGCCTGATGTGGTAATGGTCATGCTATCTCCCATAAAATGAGAAAACAGGCCAGATATTGTGGTATTGAAGAATCCATCTTATTATAACTACCTATTACTGTGCCTGAGGTCTGGACTGACATTAAGCTGTTAGGCTACAACAGGGAGGCATGCTTTCACTAGTGTGTAATGCTTTAAGTGATCTGGGGTGAGATGGAGTATAAAATTCCTATACCCTCAGATCACATGCTGTGATGCAGTAATGATATCATCAACATATCCCCTAACAGAATACTGACAGTGAGATGTGACACAACACCATTAATATGAACATTCTAATCCACAAATCACTCCATGGTCTTACCATAGGATTCCTGTTGGTCACTTACTGACACAGCTACTCAAACATCATGTGCTGCACATTTCACAAGCTAGCATCCAATTGCATTTCAGACATATACAAGTGTTCATCACCACTGCTGCTGTCACTATTTGAGCAAAATCACTATTTATACATCTGATTTAAATTTACTTTACTTCTTCTTGTCTGGCTAGCCCGGCTCACTTGCTGTAATATTCTGATATATACACAGTTAAATCCACATCAGTCTGGAAGATGAGCTAAAACTCATCCACAGTCTCAAATATGTTAAGGCACTCCAAAACACAACAATAATGTGATGTTGTACAGCTGTTGAAACTCTTTGTGGGTCTGGCTGATTTCATAGCAGGGTACATGGAGTGAACAACCCAGAAACAGGTCATTCAGCCAAAAGGTCCATTCTGCAGGACGTCCTCCTACCTCTCCTTCATTTATCCCCTTCAACATATTCTCCTTAAATATTTCTGTACTATCATTCTCAACCACTCCATACGGCAGCAAGTTACATTCTAACCACTCACAGATAAAGATGTTTCTTCTTATTTTAGCCTTTTCTTTACTTTTACGATACCTGTTTTGGAACACTCTAACAGACATAAGTTATTACTTATATTCCAAAGAACAGTCTACCTTTCTTTTGTTAGCCACCATCCCGGTTAGCTCCGTCACAAGTTCCTCCAGCTTCTGCTTGTTCCGCCCACACAACACCAGCCTAGCACCAGCTGCATGGAAAACCCTGGCGCAATCTGATAGGGAGAGCAACAATCATTGGAATCAGCTTCAACAACAACAACACTTACATTTATATAGAGCCTTTAATGTAGCACAATATTCCAAGGCACTTCACCCGTTAACAAACCAAATTTGGCACAGATCCATGTAAGGAAATATTTAGACAAACCACAACAGAGTAGTCAAAGAGAGGCAGAGAAGTTCAGGAAGGGAATTCCAAAATTTAGGGCTAAGGTAGCTGAATGTATGGCTGCCGGAGTGATTAAAATGCTCAACAGGCTGAGGTTTTCTGTGTGAAAGCTAGAATGAGGAATGCAGTGGCCAATCTTTGAACCTTTACCTCTGACCTGTGGCATCATCACATTTGAACAGCATGCGTTGGTGCTGCAGAAATGGGTATGATGCTCCAATGAAAACTAAACTGACACTCTTTCTAACTAACTCTGCCCATCTTACATTTAGCATAATTATTTAATAAAACCTATTGGGGTCCGGGTGCTGGGAGGTGGTTATCACACTGCACTCTCAGATCTGTTTCCTGGAGTCAAAATCTCATGCGGTTGTAAGGATTTATTGTGAAATGACACAGCATGGCACAGACAAGATGGGCCGAATAGCCTTTTTCTATGTTGTCTCAATTCTACGAACCTGTGACTTTGGCCAGCCTTCAACCAATTCCTACCATGATGGTGCTGAATTGGCAAACTCACTCAGAGGGCTCACACAGACAGCTCAGATGTACACAAAGCTTGTCTAATTTGGGGGTTAAGCCCCATTATTGACAGCACAGTCACATGAATCTTATCCACAAGGATCAGGTCCTGAATATTGGCAGCAAAAGTGAACATTGCAGTTCAGTTTCTCAGCACTGACGTCCTCCATGACAATACATGTAACAACCCACAGCACGTTCAAACACTGGATAGGCCTGAGCTTAGAGCCATAGAGTTGTACAGCACAGAAACAGGCCCTTTGGTCCAACTCATCCATGCTGACCAGATATCCTAAATTAATCTAGTCCCATTTACCAGCATTTGGCTCATATCCCTCTAAACTCTTCCTATTCATATACCCATCCAGATGCCTTTTAAATGATGCAATTTCCTCAGGCAGTTCATTCCATACATGCACCACCCTCTGTGTGAAAAGATTGCCCCTTAAGTCCCTTTTATATCTTTTCCCTCTCACCTTAATCCTATGCCCTCTAGTTTTCGACTCCCCTATCCTGGGGAAAAGACCTTGACTATTCATCCTATCCACGCCCCCTATGATTTCAGAAACTTCTATAAGGTCATCCCTCAACCTCTGACGCTCCACAGAAAGTAGCCCCAGCTTATTCGGCCTCTTCTCATAGCTCAAACCCTCCAACCCCAGCAACATTCTTGTAAATCTTTTCTGAACCCCATCAAGTTTAACACAGAAACGTAGAAAATAGGTGCAGGAGTAGGCCATTCAGCCCTTCAAACCTGCTCCACCATTCAATACGATCATGGCTGATCATGCAATCTCAGTATCCCATTCCGACTTTCTCTCCATACCCCTAGATCCCTTTAGCTGCAAGGGCCACTTCCAGCTCCCTCTTGAATATAACCTAATGAACTGGCCCCAACAGCATCCTATGAGAGAGAATTTCACAGATTCACAACTCTCTGAGTGAAGAAATTCTTCCTCATCTCAGACCTGAACGGCTTACCCCTTATTCTTTGACTGTGACCTGTAGTTCTGGACTTCCCCAACATCAGGAACATTCATCTCACATCTAGCCTGTCCAGTCCCAACAGGATTTTATACGTTTCTATGAGATCCCCCCTCATTCTTCTAAATTCCAGCAAATAAAAGCCCAGTCAATCCAGTCTTTCCTCATAGATCAGTCCTGCCATCCCAGGAATCAGTCTGGTGGTGAACCTTCACTGGACTCCCTCAATAGCAAGAATGTCCTTCCTCAGACTAGGAGACCAAAACTGCACACAATACTCAAGGCATGACCTCACCAAGGCCCTGTATAACTGCAGCAAGACATCCTTACTCCGATACTCTCATTCTCTCGCTATGAAGGCCAGCATGCCATTAGCTATCCTCACTGCCTGCTGCACCTGTATGTCAACCTTCAGCAACTGTTCCACCAGGACACCCAAGGGTCTTGTTGCAGCTCCCCCTTTCCCAAACTACCACCATTCAGATAATAATCTGCCTTCCTGTTTTTGTGGATAATATCTCATTTATCCACATTATATTGCATTTACCAAATATTTGCACACTCAGCCAGTCTGTCCAAGTCACCCTGCACCCTCTTAGCATCCTCCTCACAGCACACACTGCCACCCAGCTTAGTGTCATCTGCAAATTTGGAGACATTGCATTCACTTCCTTCATCCAAATTGTTAATCGGTATTGTGAACAGCTGAGGTCCCAGCACTGAACCCTGTGGTACCTCACTCGTCACTGCCTGCCGCTCTGAAAAGGACCCATTTATTACAACTCTCTGCTTCCTGTCTGCTAACTAGTTCTCTATCCATGTCAGTACATTACCTCTGATACCACGAGCTTTAATTTTCCTTACTAATCTCTTGTGTGGAACTTTGTCAAATCCTTGAAAATCCAAATACATAACATCTACTGATTCATCCTTGTCCACCCTACTGGTCACAGCCTCAAAAAATTCCAGACAAATTGCCAAGCATGATTTCCCTTTAGTGAATCCATGCTGACTAGGATCGATTCTGTCACCACTTTGCAAATGCTCAGTTATTACATCCTGTTAATAATATCGTTCCTATAGCAGGGAGAGCAGAATTGAATGCAGCATTCCAAAAATGGCTTAACCAATGTCCTGTACAGCCGCAACATGACCTCCCAACTCCTATACTCAATGCACTGACCAATATAGGCAAGCATACCAAACGCCTTCTTCACTATCCTGTCTACCTGTGACTCCACTTTCAAGGAACTATGAACCTGCATTCCAAGGACTCTTTGTTCAGTAACACTCCCCAGGACCTTACCATTAATTGTATAAGTCCTGTCCTGATTCGCCCCACCGAAATATACCACCTCACGTTTATCTAAATTAAACTCCATCTGCCACTCCTCGCCCATCGGCCTATCTGATCAAGGTCCTGTACTCTGAGGTAACCTTCTTCATTGTTCACTACACCACCAATTTCAGTGTCATCTGCAAATTTACTAATTATACCTCCTGTATTCACATACAAATCATTTATATAAATGACAAAAAGCAGTGGACCCAGCACCGATCATTGGTCACTGGCCTCCAATCCAAAAAGCAACCCTCCACCACCACTCCCTGTCTCCTACCTTCGAGCCAATTACGTATCCAAATGGCTAGTTCTCTCGCTATTCCATGTGATCTAACCTTGTTAACCAGTCTACCACGTGGAACCTTGTCAAATGCCTTATCGATATCCATATAGAGAACGTCCACCGCTTTGCCTTCATCAATCCTCTTCATTACCTCTTCAAAAAAACTCAATCTAGTCAGTGAGACACAATTTCCCACACACAAAACCACATTGACTATCCCTAATCAGTCCTTGCCTTTCCAAATAACTGTAAATCCTGTCCCTCAGAATCCCCTCCAACAACTTATCCACCAGTGATGTCAGGCTCACCGGTCTACAGTTCCCTGGCTTTCCTTACCACCTTTCTTAAATAATGGCAACACATTAGCCACCCTGGACTCTTCCGGCATCTCACCCGTGGTTATCGATGAAACAAATATCTCAGCAAGGGGCCCATCCATCACTTCCCTGGCTTCCCATAAAGTTCTACGGTACACCTGATCTAATTCCAAGGATTTATCCACCATTATGTGTTTTAAGATGTCCAGCACCTCCTCCTCTGTAATACGGACACTTTTCAAAATATCACAATTTATTCCTTGAAGTTCTCTAGCTTCCATATCCTTCTCCACAGTAAACACTGATGCAAAATACTTGTTTAGTATTTCACCCATCCCCTGTGGTTCCACACATATGTGGCTTTGCTGATCCTTAAGGGGCCCTATTCTCTCCCTAGTTACTCTTCTGTCCTTAACGTATTTGTAAAAACCTTTTGGATTCTTCTTTACCCTATTTACCACAGCTAACTCAAGCCCCTTTTTTGCCTTCCTGATTTCCCTCTTTGGTATACTCCTACTGACCTCATACTCCTCTAGGGATTCACTAAAATTATGGACAATTGCCCCAAAGTGCTCCCCCACTGACACCTCAGACACTTGCCCTTCTTTATTTCAAAGAGTGAGTCAAGTTTTGCTCCTTTTCTAATAGGTACATCCATGTATTGAATAAGAAAATGTTCTTGTACACAATGAACAAATTCCTGTCCATCCAAGGCCTTAACACTATGGCAGTCCCAGTCTATGTTTGGAAAGTTAAAGATAACTGAGATCTCCTTACAAATTTGCTTCTCAATTTCCTGCTGACTACTGTAGGGTCCATAATACAATCCCAACAAGGTGATCATCCCTTTCTCATTTCTCAGTTCCACCCAAATAACTTCCCTGGACGTACTCCCAGGAATATCCCCCCTAAGTACAGCAACAACGTTATTCCTAATCAAAAATGCCACTCCCCCTCCTCTCTTGCCCCCTTCTCTATTCTTCTATATCTACATCTGAGAACATTAAACTGCCAGTCCTGGCCCTCCCTGAGGCACGTCTCTGTAATTGCTATGATATCCCAGTCCCATGTACCCAACCACGCCCTGAGTTCATCTGCCTTACCTGTCAGGTCTCTTGCATTGAAATAAATGCAGTTTAATTTATCAGTCCTATCTTGTTCCCTGCTTTGCTCCTGCCCACGTTGACTATTGGACTTGATCCTTTTCCTAACTGCACCAGTCTCAGACTGATCCCTTTTCTCACTCTCTCTCTGGATCCCACCAGCTTCCCCCCAAACCCACCTTACCACCTTACTAGATTAAATGCTCCTGGCGGCTCTAGCAAATCTCCCCAACAGTATATCAGTTCCCTTCCAATTCAGAAGCAACCCATCCTTTTTATACAGGTCACTTCTACCCCAGGTGACATTCCAATGATCCAAAAATATGCATCCTTCTCTCCTGCACCAGCTCCTCAGCCACACATTCATGCTCCTACTCCTACTCTCACTAGCATATGGCACCGTGAGTAATCCAGATATTACTACACTTGAGGCACTGCTTCTTAACCTCCTCCCTAATTTCCTTTATTTTCTCCTCAGAACCTCATCCCTTTCTCTGAAGTGTCCTTTTCTGGGCACCACACTTTCGGAAAGATGGTATACCTTTGTGGGGATGCAGAAGAGTTTTACAAGACTTGCACTTGAAATGAAAAGCACCAGCTGCATGGAAAGATTATTAAAGAACTTTGATTATTTGCCTCACAGCAGAGGTACTTAAGCGAAGATTTAACACAGGTGTTCAAGAAGAATTTTATTAGAGTAAAATATTAATAAGAAGAAACCATTGCCATTGGCAGAAAGGTTGCTAATAAGGGGATACAGATTTGCAAAAAGAACCAGAGGTGAAACCTGAAGAAGATGAATACAGGGAGGCTTACCATTTGGTACAAAATTAGCTGGAGGATAGGAGACAGGGGGTGGTGGTGGTAGGTTGCTTTTCAGACTGGATGCCTGTGACCAGCAGTGCGCTGCAAGGATTGATGCTGGGTCCACTGCTTTTTGTCATTTATACAAATGATTTGAATGTGAATATAGGAGGTATGATTAGTAAGTTTGTAGATGACACCAAAATTGATGGTGTAGTGGACAGTGAAGAAGGTTACCTCTGAGTACAATGGGACGTTGATCAGATGGGCCAATGGGCAAGAAGTGGCAAGTTGGAGTTTAATTTAGATAAATGTGAGGTGCTGCATTTTGTAAAGGCAAATCAGGGTAGGACATATACACTTAATGGTAAGGTCCTGGGGAGTGTTGCTGAACAAAGAGACCTTAGCGTGCAGGTTCATAGATCATTATAAGTGGAGTCACAGGTAGACAGGATGGTGAAGAAGGTGTTTGGTACACTTGCCTTTATTGATCAGTGCATTGAATATAGGAGTTGGAAGGTCATGTTGCAGCTGTAGGTTAGGCCACTTTTGGAATACTGCATTCAACTCTGGTCTCCCTACTATAGGAAAGACATTGTTAAACTTGAAAGGATTAAGAAAAGATTTACAAGGAAGTTGCCAGGGTTGGAAGGTTTGAGCTATAGGGAGAGGCTGGGGGCTATCTTCCCTGGAACGTCAAAGGCTGAAGGGTGACCTTACAGAAGTTTATAAAATCATGAGGGGCATGGATAGGGTAAATAGCCAAAGTCTTTTCCTCAGGGTAGGCAGTCAAAAACTAGAAGCCATAGGTTTAAGGTGAGAGGGGCAAGATTTAAAAGGCACCTGAGGGAAAAACTTTTCATGCAGAGGGTGGTGCATGTATGGAATGAGCTGCCAGAGGAGGTGGTGAAAGCTGGTACAATTACAACATTTAAAAGGTATCTGGACAGGTATACGAATAGGAAGGGTTTAGAGGGATATGGGCCAAATGCTGGCAAATGGAACTAGATTCATTTAGGATATCTGGTCGGCATGGACAAGTTGGATCGAAGGGTTTGTTTCCGTGTTTTACATCTTTATCACTCTATGACCCTGTAATTTCTTTTGACTCAGTGTGTCACTGTGATCTGCCTGAAAAAGTGCTGGAAACAGATTCAATAATAACTTCCAAAAGGGAATTGTATTCACAGGGAAATGAGGTGGGGAATTTAAGAAAAAGGAGCAGGACTAACTGATTAACTCTTTCAAACAGATGTGACAGACACTATGGTCCTCTTCAGTGCTATACAATAGAATAACAAACAGCAGAACATAAGTCATACACCAAGTTTCGAGGGGTTAGAACCACGTATGCAATGTTTAAGGCAATGGCGGTAATCACAAACCATACTATACACAACTGGGGAAGAGCTAAGAAGGGGGGGGAAAGCTAAGGAGAAACTAAAACATAAATATGAAATGAACCGACTATTACATTCTCTGTGTTATTACCTTACCTTTACCGAGGCCAGAGCTCGCTCCTGTTATCACCACCACAGCATCTTGAACTACTGCTCGGTCCTTCATGCTCTGCAGCAGCCTGAATAAAATAATAAGGCCCACACTACCCAGCAGCAACGGCAGGAAGTTTGAAGAGGTTATTTCCAAGAGAGTCCCTTTGTATAGCATTTTCCTGGGGATAAGAGGAGGTTAAAAAAAAGCAAATCACTTGCCTTGCCTACTGATCACTGGTGCCAGAGTTAAAGGGAATATACTCTTCGAGGCATATTCCGTCAGGCATGAATATCCAGGATATCAAAACCAGCAGTGAATTTCACTGACCAGGAACAATTCCTTTGCTTTTTGATCAGTGCCTTGCAATCTTAAATATCTAGTTGAGAGAGAAGATAGGATCTTAGTTTGATCCGTCATCCGAAAGAAACTTCTGCAACATTTTTACACAACATAGACTTTTACACAGTAGTTTTCTTTTGGAAAATGTTGCATTAGCTCGCCTGTCTCTAATTCTCCACCAGTAGACAGTCCAAGCCAGAAAGGACATGCACAGGGCATGATGACATCATGCGGCAAACAGCTGTTAATTCTATTTTAAGTGCCTGAAACCAATCTCATCCAAACTTAGCTTTATCATCAGTCTCCGGGAGTTCATTTGTTTGGGAGGAGGCGGGGTGGGAGGGAACAACTTTGCTTCAAATTTACAGAAATAGAATGAAACTAATTCAAAGCTGACCTTTGTAATCCCCTATCAACGTATCTTCAACAGAGATAAATCCCCCTGATAAGCACAGCCCGCAGGCTGTCTCAAGAGCAGGTAAGCCGTCCTTTAATGACACACAGTATAGATATGTGGGCTTCGGCTGCCCTGAATAGGATTGCCTAACTGTAACTAAAATACTTGAAACTCCAACTGACATTGGGCATACCAAGGTCTTTGTGACTCAATTTGACCATCAGTGTCGCTGTCGTTAAAGAGCTGTGATCCTCAACCCAGACAACTTTTGAATGGCTACTCTCAAGTTGTAATCAGAGGCAAGGGGAGGCTAGGGGAAGGAGAGGGTGAGGGGAGTGACAGCATGAGGGAGTCAGACAAGTCATGTTTCTGCCACTGACCTATACTTTAATATGTGCACGTGAGCAGGTGGAGGGATGAGGTTTACACCAGGATAACCTTCTCACTCAACTATAGAATAATTCTCCAACACTCATGATGTGGCTCCAAGTCAAAGGGCTGGGGGAGAGGTGGTACCTGATTACTGTACTTTGATCAGCACAAGTCAACACCTTTAGGAGGGTAAAAGTTTGACCTGCAAGAAATAAAACATTCTATCACCCTCACCACTGTGTTCATCTTTCCAGTCACTTGCATGTAGCAGTTTTGTGTTAACTGGACAACTTCTTAAATGAATAACAAGTGTAGTAATCTACGTGAAAACCTCAATACTGTCACGGGTTGGCCAAGAGATCATTCATTCACAGCAATGTGATTTATTTATGTTTTGTCTCAAGATTTCCTGTTCAGACCAGGGAGGAAGAGGCCATAGCCAGCCAAGGGACCATCAGAAGAAACTGTGGGCCAGGGTGAAAGGTCTGCAACACAAGCGGATCAAAGTTGAGAAAGTGGGAAGTCTGTTTGTGAAAGGTCAGAGGGAACACAGTGGAGCAGACACAGGATGCAGACTGAGTCTGTGAATCATTGAACATGAGGAAGTACTTACTTGGCTCTGGGATAAGCTCAGTTTAGAAGGTCAGTCATGTTGTAATACATGGCAGATTCATGCACAAGGAGAGGTCTTGCTTTCTTCAGCCCCCTTCAAAAGTTACAAGGAATTAATAGCAGTGAATCAGCTCATTTCATCCAAAAGTTCCACACCAGTGTTTATGCTACACACACAAGCCTCCTCCAACAATTCTGCAGCTCACTCAATGGCCATATCCTTCTAAATGTTTGCACTTCTGTCCTTACCGAGCTTTCCTTTAAATGGGGTGATGTGATTCATCTCCACTACACCTGGTTTCACATTCTAACAATTCTCTACATAATGAATTCTGAATTCTATATTTGATTTATGACTGTATTGCAATTATGATCCATGGATCACCTCACAACCTTCCGTTTACCAGCAAGAATGTGCCCAACATAGTTAACTGTTCCTCATAAACTATCATTCTGTTTGCTCAGTCATTCTAGTTGTTTTCTACAGCCGCCTCGTTTCTCTGAAGTGCTTTCAGGATTTTTGAATGACTGGTTCCTTCACTGATTTTACTATCCTCCTTTGTTAAAAGTGTTAGCTCTTCGCTGGCCCCAGCGGTGTCAGCCATCCACCAACTTGCCATTATCATACATGGCTCTTTGCATGAACAAAAATAAGCCACTGTTTATCACCAGGAACGGGGCATTTTCATTCCCTCTGGAACTTTTACACAGAACTGCAAAAATCAGACAGAAAGTTGTGTATTTGCAGTAACTGGAATTCAAGGAGCTTTCACGATGCACCAAGTCGTTTGACCTAGTAGCTCAACTATTTGACCATTGTGAGGATCACAGTTAAGGCTACGAGCCCATTCTTATGCATGTCCACAGGACATGTTCAACAGGTTTATTTGGAATCACACAAGTTTCAGACCGCAGCCCCTCCGTCAGGTGTAGTCCTACATCGACACCTCCACATCATGTCCACAGGAGACAGCTTTAAGCTCTATGACAGCTTTCACACCTCCTGGAAGTTGCAGCCTTCAGATTCCAGTCCAGGGATTTGTGGTAAAGGGAAACCAGAGCTCCAGCTCAGAATTCAGATGTGACACCCAGTGGAAGCATCAGGTCCAGAGTGTAGGTCACGCCACTACATCATCTGGGTTATGGGAGGCCATAAATCCTCTCGCTATGTAGGACCAACCACCCCATCACCTGATATCTGACCAAGAGCTTGCAAATATTTCCAGTACTATTTTCCATCGGATTCGACTGAAGACGCAAAAGACAGTCTCATGTACACATTCACACACGTATATCAATGATAGTAACTGGAAGCAAGAATCCTATTCCGCTTTCCACTCGAAATGCAAGGCTTGCTGATCTCCTCCGTGTTATTCAGTTCACATCTTTATCAACTTGACCAGCAGGTGGGGCCCTATCCTTAACTTCACTTGTGTTACATCTGGAACCTGATGCTTTTGAACAGCAACACGCATCAGATCAAAGATCCAATTATCACTTCCATCTATTATAGATACCTTAGCTGGTCAGTTTGCGAGACCTTAAGAAATCCAGCCACTTAAAAGTGCACTAAAACTTAGCACACTTTCACTTACACTAAGGAGGATGGATAAATTGCTGTATTTACAATGGCTGCATAATTTGGGAAGGAATTTACCCTGAAATCTAGTCTGGGTAGGGAAAACAGCTTCCCTTCCCTCAATGACATGAGAGTATCTCAATAATTTTATAGCAAGGAAGCTGCTTTGCTTTCATGGTCATTTTTCTTGGGCTTGTGAACAAATTAACAGATGGCAGTCGCTGAATATGTGGCTTCTGGATTGTTAGGCCAAAACCATGTCAGTGAAACTTCCATCCCTGCATGAAGTGGGTCATCAGAACTATGATACATGGAGTAGAAAACAGCAAAGACTAATGCAGTTGGAGCGAAACAGAATGGCAGTGTCAGGCATCCTTCGCATCTAACCCTGCCCAGTCCCAAACCTCACCATCCACCACTGCTGTTTGATGACCAAAATAGGCAGTGAACTAAAACATTCAGAGACGAGTGGAAGCGATTACCGGGCAAGTAGAGATTATAAACCAATGTCAAGAAGAAAACTGCTGGATGGTCATCTAGGTTCACAGTTTTTAAAAAGTCTGACAGAAATAAACAAGGACATGGGGGAGGGACAGATGGCACCCGTTATAAAGATGATTGAGAATCATTCCTGGTTGGCAACAGGTCTTTGTAAAAAAAATCCATTCATGAGGTATGACCTTTGCTGGTTGGGCCAACATTTATTGTCCATCCCTAGTTTCCCTTGAGAAGGTGGTAGTGAGCTGCCTCTTTAACTGCTGTAACTATTCACTGTAGTCAGACCCACAGTGCCATTAGGGAGGGAGTTCCAGGACTTTAACCTAGTGACAGTGAATATATTTCCAATTCAGGATGGTGAGTGGCTTGGAGAGGAACTCGCAGGTGGTATCTGTTGTTCTTGTCCTTCTAGATGGAAGTGGTCATGGGTTTGGAAGGTGCTGTCTAAGAAGCTCTGAAAAGTTTCTACAATGTATCTTTTTGATAGTACACATTGCTACTGCAAATTATTTGTGGTGGAGGGAGTGAATGTGATACTGATCAAATGGGCTTCTTTGCCCTGGACAGTCTTACACACTTGAGTGTTGTTGGAGCTAATCCAGTTGAGTTTCTGGTCAGCGGTAACCTCCAGCATGTTGATAGTAGGGGATTGATTCAAGGCAATGCCATTGAACATTTGGTGCTCCCTTGTTTGTGGTGTTTCACTTCTTGGCAATTGCATGGTGTGAATATCACTTACTACTTGTCAGCCCAAACCCGGTTATTATCCAGGTCTTGTTGCATTTGAACATGTACTGCTTCAGTATCTGAGGAATCGCAAATGGTACAGAACATTGTGCTGTCACCAGCAAGCATCCCCACTTCTGACCTTAAGATAAATTGGCCATTGGTGAAGCAGCTGAAGATGGTTGGGCCTAGGACACTACCCTGAGGTACTCCTGCAAAGATGTCCTGGAGCTGAGATGACTGATCTCCAATAACCACAACCATAAATAAATGCTTGACAATGCAGAACTTACAAGTAGACTAGAAGTTGCAGCTTTCATCTTGCTCTCATCACAACTAGGATTCAAGGAGTAAACTTGAAAAAGAGACATCATTTTATACAGAATGAGAAGGGGGACAAAGCATCAGAAGGCATTGTTGCTAAGTTTGCAGATGACACAAAGATATTTGGAGGGAAAGGTAGCGTTAAGGAAGCAGGAAGGCTGCAGAAGGACTTGGACAGGCTAGGGAGTGGGCAAACAAGTGACAAATGGAATACAACATGGGAAAGCATGAAGTTATGCACTTCAGTAGAATGAACAAAGGCATAGATTATTTTCTAAATGAAGAAAGGCTTTGGAAATTTGAAACACAAAGGGACTTGGGAGCCCAAGTTCAAGATTCTCTTAGGGTTAGCATGCAGGTTCAGTTGGCAATTAGGAAGCCAAACACAAAATTAGCATTAATTTCAAAATGGCAAGAATACAAGAGCAGGAACACACTGCTGAGGCTATGCAAGGCTCTGATCAGACTGCATTAGGATATTATGTGCAGTTTCAGCCCCCCTATCTAAGGAAAGATGTGATGACCTTGAAGGGGGTCCAAAGGAGGTTTACAAGAATGACCCCTGGGGTAAAGGCTTTTCATATGAGGAGCGGTTGAGGACTCTGGGTCTGGGTTTCAATGGAGTTTAGATGGATGAGGGGGAATCTGATGAAACTTATTGAGTACTGAGAGGCTTGGATAGAGTGGACATGGAGATGTTTCCAAAAGTTTGAGAGACTAGGACCTGAGGGCAGAGCTTCAGAGTAAATGGACAACATTTTACAACTGAGATGAGGAAGAATTTCTTCAGCCAGTGGTTGGTGGATCTGTGGAACCCATTACCACAGAAGGTCATGGAGGCTAAGTTACAGAGTGTCTTTAAGACAGAGATAGATCAGTTCTTGATTAGCAAAGGGAACAAGGGTTACAGGGAGAGGGCTGGAGAATGTGTTTAAGAAACATATCAGCCATGATCGATTGGTGGAGCAGACTCGATGGGCTGAATGGCTTAATTCTCCTCCTGTATCTTATGAGCTGAAGGGTGTTGAATGGTTGAAAATACAGCAAGAAAAGTTAATTGTCAATCTTAATTCTCAGGCCAAGCAAGTAAATTCGTTCTAAAGGAGGGTCACTGAACCAGAAACATAGACTCTGCTTTCACTCCATTGATGCTGCCAGACCTGCTCAGTTTTTTCAGCAATTTCTGTTTTTGCTGCAAGTAGATTCAGATTGGTCTCTCTTTGATCAGTGCAAGACAAAAAGCTTCAACTCTAGTCTCCTTACAGTAATGTTTAACTACAATCATGTTGCTCTGTGCCAGGTACAACTAACCAATGCACAGTCGTCATTCCCTCCCCTTCTTCCCATTGAGTCCAGTTTTGCTAGGGTTCATGGATGCCACATACAGTCAAATGTGGTCTTGATATCAAAGGCAGTCACTCTTAATCACCACTGGAATTCAGCTTTTTTGTCCATGTATGAAACAAGGCTGTGTTAAGGTCAGGAGCTGAGTTGTGCTGGTGGATCCCAAACTGAGTGTCAGTGAGCAGATAATGCTAAGCAAGTGGTGCTTAACAGCATCCATTACAGATTCCAATATTTTACTGATGATCAAGAGAAGACGGAAGAAGTGGTAACTTAGTGGATTTGATTTCTTCTGCTTTTTGAGTGCAGGGCATACCTAGGCAATTTTCCACATTGTTGGGTAGATGCCAGTGTTGTAGCTGTACTGGAACAGCTTGGCTAGGGGACTGGCAAGATCTGAAGCATGTCTTCAGAACTATCGTCAGTCTTCAGTGACTGATAGAAATGGATATTTTTAACTAGCTTGAAAGAATAACAGAGCGGGAAGAGAAAAAAAATCCATGTCTTTGTGGTCCATGTTGAAATCAAATAAAAATCCAGAATAGTCAGCAAGGTCCTCTTTGCAAAGTACCAGGAAAGAGGAGCTAAATGAAAGTCAGGACCTCAAGGGTTATTTTTTATGGAGTACTATCTGAGTCATGAATAAATTGGCACATACATAAGCAGATTAGAGCACTGAACAAACAATAGAACGTGTATGTGAGAAAGGTCATATGATGGAACACTGGGACCAGTTTTATAACTGTGCCGTTGAAATGGATTTGATATTGCAACTGTATAAAATTTTAGTTAGACCACATTTGGAGGTAGTGTGTATGGTTCCGGTTGACACAGAAAAGGAAGGATGTGGAGGCTTTGAAGAAGGTGCAAAAGGGGTTTACCTGGATTGGAATATATTAGCCATAAGGAGAGGTTGGACAAACTTGGATTGTTTCGCTGCAGCGTCGGAGGTTGAGGGGTGACCTGATGGAAGTGTATAAAGTCATGAACCGCATGGATAGGGTGGATAGTTGGAGTCTTTTTCCAAGTGTGCAAATGTCAAATACTACAGGGGCACAGGTTTAAAGTGAGAAGGGAAAAGTATAAAGGAGATGTGCAAGGCAAGGTTTTTTACCCTGAGGGTGATAGGTGCCTGGAACGTGCTGCCAAGGGAGGTGGTAGAAGCAGATGCAATAGCAATGTTTAAGAGACATTTGGACAGGCACATGAACAGGCAGGGAATACAGGGATACAGACCATGTGCAGGCAGATGATATTAGTTTAGAATGGCATCATGGTCTGCACAGACCTAGTGGGCTGAAGGGCCTGTTCCTGTTCTGTACTGTTCTATGCTCTATGGGCTGTGACTGAGGTCCTGGCAGGGGGATAAATAGGGCAGCAACAAGGAAACTAAATTAGTAAAGGCTGGATTCAGGGGAGGGTATTCAGGTGGACAAAATAGTGCAGGTTAAAGCTCAAAACAAACAACAGGGTATTTTAATTGTAAGAAATTGCGTTAAAAGCCAAAGCAAAAACTAGATGTAAAATAATAAAACCATGGGAGATAAATAAGAAACATGCAAGAGTAGAATACTAATTATTTACACAAACGCAGTGAATGAAAAACAAATTAAATGAACAACAGGAATAAATTCAGCTTGAAGACTATGACACTGTCAAGACTGGGAACTAAACAATGTATACTAAGTAATAACACCTAGTGGTGGACAATTAAATATCCCCATCATCAATAATAGGGGAACCCGGCATATCAATGAAAAAAGCAAGGCTGGAGAATTTTTAACCATTCGTCTCGACCACCTCCTGAAGTCTGCAACGTTACAGATGTCAGCTTTCAGCCAGCTGAATTCATTCAACATGATATCAAAAAGTAGCCGAAGGAACTGGATACAGCAAAAGCGGTGGGCTGACAAATTTCTGACAAAAGTACCAAAGACTTGTGCTCCAAGACCAGGTGCAACC